CGCGTCCCGCGTTGCGTCCCGAACGGACAAGAATAAGATCGGATCAGGCCACACGAGAAACCACAATAGCAGGTCGAGCAGGCCGCAATATTTCGAAGCTTCACTGGTACACCAAGGAGCGAAATACTGGTGCCGGCTATCAACGACATCATGGTTTGAACGGCGAGGGCACTGGATGGTAGTAGCAGCACCAAGAAGTAAACGAGCGTTTCTGATTTGACGGATCATCAGGTTAACATGTATAGTAAGGAGAACGAGTTCTAACTCAGCCGAAATGGCAAGAAGAGAACAACATCGGTGACATTGCGAACCACAAAGCGAAACATAGGCGCGAAGAAGGCCAGGAACAATCATGGTGACAAGGAGCCTAGCAAAACGAGCAAGTAGGGCCCAACCTCGATCTTCTGCCCTGCTCCCCGCTTTGCAGGTGCTGGAAAAGCTTCAGCTTGGTGAGGAGGAGGTCGGAGTTCTTTGATTCCAGGGAGATGTTGGGTTGGCAAGGCAAGGACGGCAAACTACGAGGATCAACGAGCACTCCAGGATGATGTGGTTTCCGGCAAGTTTCGGGTTCCGCATTTGTGCTGCACAACTCCCGTTCAGCCCTCACCTCGAAGGTGGAGAAAGTCGCAGCGGCGGCTACGCCGGACCTTATGGGGGCGGGGCTGCTCTTGATGGTTTCGGACAGACTGAGGCATTTAGAGCCAGCTGATGATATCTACAAGGGTGGTAGAGTTTGTGAGTGTCCCGTTCAGCCATCATGATGCCTACCCCCGCCCTCCTTGACCCTCTTTCCTCCAGCCATGAGCAAGTAGGCTTTGCATGCGCTCGACGTCTTTCGAGCTGCGACTGGGCCTTCCATCGGTCTACCGAGGGCTAATCTGGCGCAAGCATTCCTGGCAGACTCACCCACAATCACCAGGAGTTGTGGTGAGTCTGGCCAATGCACCTGGAAGAGCACGTCGAGAAACAGCACCATGAACGAAGATGGAAAGGCGTCTCGCACCGCTTGCTCCAATCGGGCGCAGCCGCCTTACGCGAATGACATGGTCCAAGATATTGAAACGGAGTCCGTCCTTTGCAGGAACAGCCTTCCTCGGAGGCCGTGGCGAAGATGGAGAAGGTGGGGGGGTGGGGTGGTGTGGTGTGGGGGCGGAGGGGGTGCTTCTTGAACCCCTGAGCCCGGAAAAGACGCCTCCACCGGTTCTGTAGTCCTTCTTGCGGTCCTGTAAGACACTGATTCCCAGATCCGGACACGTAACCACTCGCTTTGTCACAGGCGAACGCTTCAGCGCAGATGAAGCTTTCGACCACCTTGAACTTGGTCGAGATCAAGCTCAAAAGTGCCTCAGCTGACGGGTATTGAGACATTTTGTGGCGTTTTATTCAGGAAATTCAGGCAGGCCGCCTTCCACCGTGGGTGGGCGGCGCTCAGATTAGGCTCTCCTCAGAACCAGTGCTGGTTCCGATACTGGAACGCCACAGAATGCCGGTTTAGAGGGTCGTGGGAGCACCTGGCTTCTCTGGGGTTTTCAAATCTAGTAGTGTGCTTCAGTTCCTGAATTCGGTTTGCGACACTAGCTTACTGAGTCTAGACAACTGCAGACCTCGCTGATTTTTGTCTCGACCCTGAGGCGCTCAGGGCTTTCTGCAAGAGGAGCTCACCGCCATGCAGCTTCGCATCAAGAAGGCAGTCTTCGTGCTTGGGGTTTGCAAGTCGGGGTTAATTGGACTTCTGGGGTTGGAACTGGCAAAATTCGGGTGTCCAGGCCTCCGAGTGGCTCCGGATCCAGGATTTGCGGAGCTCAAGATCTGAAGGCATCCGAGGGGTAGCGGCAGAGCGTGCAGAGAGGCAGAGAAGAAGCTGGAGAAGGTCATCGCGGCCGCCACCGAGCAGCACCTCTGGCACGCTTTCTCCCAGTTTTTTCACGCTCCGCTGCAAGGCCAAGGCCTTTGAGACCCGAAGCGCAGCGCTGCAACAAAAACTGGCCCCCCGCCTTGATAGCCCCGATCCCGGAGCTCATCAGTGAAGCTCTTTGCCCTAGTAGCGCTACGGCAAGCGGCTGGCTTCCCTTCCGAAGTCCCCCGAGCGGCAAAGCAGAAAGCCTGACTTGTTGCAAAGCCCTGACTCCTCAACCCGGAGGAAGGAGCGGCTGAGGGCATCCGAGCTGATCGCCCAATGTTTAGACAAGGCCAGGAGGGGAGACAGAGAGGCGAGCCTCTTCGAGGAGCGGGCAAGTGAGGTGAGGATGTTTAGATGAGTCAAAAGGGGAAGTTTTGCATTCTGAGTGGGTCCCAGGTCCCACAACGAAGTCTCATTCCAACTCAGAGCTTGACTCTTGACGACTTCGGAGGCAGACACCTGCGAGGCGGCTTTGCGCAAGGCTGGAGCCTCGGCTGGCTTGAGGGATTGGATGGATCTAGGATGTTGGAAGCGCTGAGATTCCGGGTTTGGAGGCTTGTGGGCTTGGGGTTAAGCGAAGTTTGGGGCTTGTGGTCGATCGAGCATACAGAGTTGGAGGTCCTTGCATGTCCTTGCAGGGCAGAAGAAGAGGATTTTGTTGCCTTCTCGCTACACCTCGTTAAAGTTCCAGGTTCCAAGGCTTGGAGGATGCCACAGGTTGAGCAGATTTCGCAAGCACTTACGGTAACGACCGAATCGGTTGCAGGACAGCTTGAATGCAGCAGGGTATCTTTTTGGCTCCTCTTTATCTGTCCGTGGCGCTTTGAACCCATTCCTACGATTGCACGTCCAGACATGTTGCCACCAAAACTGGGAATGAGAGCCTTGCGGTTTAGGACTTCGGCTTCATGATGGCTTCATGGTTTGAGGGTCTACTAAGTGACAGATTCTGCGTCGAGTCCTGTGTCCTACCCGCAGAAGGCACCCGGAGCCCCGCAGTTACTGGTGGTTGTTGGTGGCAGCACTGGCCGTCGTGGTCGCGGTCTTCGTCGTCGTGGTCGTCGTCTTCATTGTAGTAGAAACTTAGTAATGGTAGTCTTAACAGCAGCAGCGGGTAGCAGTAGCAGTAGCAGTAGC